GGGGGGTTCTGTGGCAGCCGCGGAGTTGAGCGTGGTCTCCAACAGCAGTCGCAAAAGGTGCGATAGGATCTTTGTCTTATTCCCAGAGGGGAGGACCGTCGGTCAGCTTGGATTTCCTTCTGCTCACACACTCAGTGGCGCGCAGCAGCCCTTATCATCCTGCACTACAGCCCGCACCGCTGAGGCGGACCGGGCCAGCGTTGTTGGAGCCATAGTTGGACCGCCAGGCTGCGCGTCTTTGTTTTTACGTGTTTCTCATTCCACCTCCTCCTCTTCCTCCTCCTCTTCTTCTCCGTGCACTGTGGAGCTCCGCGTGTTTTACTATGGGATAATGGTGGGGGAAAAAAACAAAAACAAATAAAAAAACAAAACAAAAAACACGCAGAACAAGGATAAGTGGGAGAGAGTAGACGAGCAGCCTCAGACGTCCTTGGTGTGTATGAGTGTGAGAGAGAGAGAGAGAGAGAGAGAGAAAGAGGGAGAAGGTGTTCTCGGTGTCTCTCTCCCCCCCACCCCCGACTGTGCGCTCTAACAGATGACTTCAGCTCCACCGGCGTCTAGCTGCGCCTGGTTAACCCTTTGCTCATCACACACTTTTTGCATTCATGAATGAGGATGCGCTCTGGACAATACCCCCCCCCCCCCCCCCCCACCCACCCCCACAACCCACCACCTCCCCCCTTCCCCGACTCCTTCAAATAGTCAAAAACCGGGTTATGGTCCAGATAATATTTCTCTTAAAAAAAGGCATTTTAATGGGATTTATTTTTGTTTACATTTGTTTAAAAATCTATACATACCTGTTTCATACGTCAATTACGTCACTAAAAACCTCCCGGATTTAACTTCAAATTCTAATTAAAAGATTTCGTTGAATTTTTTTGACCAAAAATGGCACTTCGACTGTTCACGACTTAAATTGTTGATTTACGGTCGGCACAGGTTGTACTTTAATCTAGTAGTGGGGCCCAAAATACCAAAAAAAAAAAAAGAAAAAATTAACCTTCGTTTGTTTATTTTAAGATACAATTAAAATAAATTATAAATTCCATGAAAAGAAAAAGAAACAAACTCGGAGCTTTATTTGAGCACCTCGTCGACGCGGTTGTGGATAATTTTGCTAATTAACCTAACGGTTGTGTCCTCGCCGGCACGCGCACGCGCACACCTGTACACGCATACGCACAAACAAACTCACCTCAACCAAAGCAAATAATTTCCCCTCGAACATTGACAACTTTCACTGAACTAAGGTTATGTAAAAATTCCAAAAGAACTCCTGGTTCCGACTAGGACTAATGTTTTTTAAAGGTAACTCGCGCACGCGCGCGCGTACAGAACACTTATTTTCACCCTCTATTGTTCTACCATGAGCAGAATAGCAGAAGAAGATTCATGAACATGAGCGCGTCTCTTTACACTGAATTTTAATCTCACCACTCCTTCCAGAGAAGATACCGTGTTCTGCTGGTGCTGCTGCTGCTGCTTTGTTGTGTATCGGGATGTCATGGATGGGGATTCACCAGCACTCAGACTGCTCAGCTACGTCAGACCGTCGGGGTTCCCCTCCTTCCGTCAAACAGGCCATGATGCCTTCACGATCTCCCGGAAATTGTATAACGAAGAAACGCACGTGAGCGATAGACCTGGCCAAATGCATTTGAAATTAAATACACCGCCGCTCGAATGAAGTCACAATAAAGGAGCACAGTTTAGTATCGTCAGTGTCTGTTCTTGACGATTTCCCGATAGGTTTTTGCCGTATTTTATGTGATTACCCTGATACCGTCTGTACGATTCATACGTTCATACATCTTGACAGTGTTACCTTTACTGACTTTACCTGCTGAATGTCTTTCTAAACTCTGTTTTTTTTTGTTTACCACACCACTACAAATCCTTTTTTTTCTATCCTTACAACTCATTAGTTCCCTGCTTTCACTGACTATCCCACTTCTTCTTTCTTCACTCCCTTCTTTCAAAGCTGACCTGTAGTTCATCATCCCACCACTGGCGTTCCGTGACCTCCTTATTCTGACCTGACTTCAAACCGATCACCCTGCTGCTGGTGAAGTTGTCTGCCTGGCCTCCTCCGTTTCTAAGTTCCTTCAACACTCTACATTCTCTACACGCCACAGTTTCACAGTATGCATCAAACACACTCTGCAACTACCATCTCCTATAAAACGTAATCTCAGATTAGATTGTATTATTGGGTCTTGGGAGGAGTTGGAAATGTCCTAGTGTGGGATCAATACATTTTAATATAATATATATAATATATATATGAATCATAACAGAATAAATATTATATATTTTTATCAATATTGATTATAATCTCTGGTTGTATCATTCCTTAATTTCCTGAATGGAACTCTAGAGGGATTTCTATCTATCTATCTATCTATCTATCTATCTATCTATCTACTCTTTCTGGTGCAGGAAGTTTTATTTACAAAGTCCAAATGAACAAAACACGGAGAACAGGCAGGCATGGAATGCTCTTCGGAACACAAGGAAACACGGGAACACGAGGAAATACAGAGTAGGAAACTCACGAACACGAAGATCTACCAGAGTCACACACTATCACAATCACAATGATCCAACCCTGACAGAGTGAGGGAGAGGGGTATATATACACAGGGAACACCAGGTGACACAAGTGAAGCTAATTAACAACAGGTGAGTGTGATCCCATGATTACCCCACAAAGAACACAGGAAAACACAGAAACAGACAGACATGACA